GTTTATAAAAACGGGGAAAGATAAAATTAAAAAAGATGAATTTTCAAACGTGGTATACCAAATTAATTGTAAGGATTGCGATTATTCGTACGTCGGTCAGACGAAAAGGAAAATAAAAGACGCGTTTAAAGGAACGTATTAATGATTTTAAAAAACCAGCTAATTCTCACTCTGTTATCTCAAATCACAGATTGGACACAGACCATGTGATAGATTGAGATAACGCTAAAATATTAGATTCGGAACGCTCTCATTATAAAAGGTTAATATCTGAGATGATTTATATTAAGATGCAAAAAAATGGTTTAAATAAACAAAGCGATATGGAACGGTTTCCAGATCTTTATCTCCCTCTCCTCGAACAATAGTTCCTTGCCCCACTCAAAACTCTTTCCCCTTCCTTTCCCTTTTCTTACCCTTCCTTTTTCCTTTTCTTAATAGACCAGCGTTTTTTGGCTTTTGTCGTTATTTGCAGTTCAAATTCACTCTTTAACTAAAATTGTCACAGTGTTCAGTTATACATACAGAGGAGTCTTTGCACCCCAAGATACACGTAAGTTTGTTCAGTTGGTTTTTCAAAAAAATAAAAAAATTTTTTTTAAATAATTCTCTGGGTGGAATCTAAACAGGAGCATATTTCTTAATCTGATTGTTTTTTACAATAATACGACGATATCTAATTTACTTGTTGAAAAAATTTTTGTTTTTACAATAGAAATTGGTACTTGCGTGTCTCTTCGTGTGGGGCTCGTCGTTTTTAAATGAAGATTTCTTAATTGTGTTATGACGGAAAAAAACTTTTGTAATTTCTTTCTATTCATATAGCGCGACAACAATTAACTGTTACTTTAATCTGTTGCGATTGATACTGTATTGTAAGGAAATAATAATTTTTGTTACTTGCTATCACTACATTTATCAGTTGACTTGCGTATTTAGTTTTAATGTTTAACGTTATTTTATTATTCATTTTTATTGTACTGAAGAGGGTCAAATCTTGACCGAAACGTCTACTTATTGTTATGAATTTGTTTTAAATAATATATAACTTATTTACATCCTTGGTCGTGGCTGTATGCTCTTTATTATTTAACCTTTGTAAATTTCTTAGCCATTTTCTAACAATTTAAATTATATTATTGTTATTTATTTTCTAATATATATATTATTTCACATAAACGTTCACATGCATACACACATACACATATATATATATATATATGTACCATTTGCTGCCTTTTTATAACTTTATTCTAAGTCATAAATATATTTTATTCTATATAAAAACTATATACGAGGGCAAGTCAATAAGTTCTTAGAAAATCTATCAGAGGACACTCGCAGTGTCATGTCACATTACTTTTTGAAGTAGCATCTTTCAGCTGATTATTGTCAAATTTTGAGCGGAATTTATCACGTGGTTTCATTTCTGTAGAGTAAAGCAAACAACCTTTGTATTTTTTGCAAAATGGAAAAAAATGAGTTTCGTGCAGTGATCAAACATCTACATATGAAAGATTTAACGCCGAAAGAAATCAAAGCCGAGTTATAATGTTATAAGGATAATGTTCATAGCACATCTGTACCAGCGTTTGCGACTATGTACAATTGAGTGAATGAATTTAAACGTGGTCGTACATCCATATGTGATGCAACTCGTTCAGAACGTCCAATTGAGGCTGCCAGAAATCATCAATCACGATATTGTTTTGACTGATCGACGAGTGAAAGTGTGCGAGCTTGTTGAGGCCATAGGCATATCACATGGCACAGTGATTTCATTTTTGCACGAATAATTGGATATGAAAAAGCTATCGGCAAGATGGGTGCCGCGTTTGCTCACTGTGGACCATAAGCGCGACCGTGTGACAATTTCAAAACAATGTTTGGAGATGTTTCAATGTAATTCAGAATTTCTGTGTCGATTCATTACTGTGGACGAAACATGGATCCATTACTTCACACCCGAAGGAATAGTCAAAACAATAGACTTCACCGGGTGAACCAGCTCCGAAGAAGGCAAAGACCGTGAAGTCGGCCGGAAAGATGATGGCCACAGTTTTTTGGGATGCACGCGATATAATTCATATCGATTACTTTCCGTCAAAGCGAACGATCAATGACGATTACTACGCAGCCATATTGGACCGTTTCAACGATATTTAAAAAAAAAAACGTCCCCATTTAACAAAGAAGAAAGCGCTCTTCCATCAAGACAATGCACGGATTCACATGTGCCCGGCACCGATGGCCAAATTCAACGAATTCCGCTACGAATTGCTTCCCGATCCAGCATATTCGCCAGATTTAGCCCCCTGCGATTATTTCCTGTTTCCCTGAAGAAATGGTTCGGAGGAAAGAGATTCACTACCAGAGAGCAGCTCATCACCGAAACAGAGGCTTATTTTGTAGGGTTGGACAAATCATATTATTCGGACGGCATGAAAAAGTTGAAGAATCGTTGCATCAAGTGTATTGAGCTGAAAGGAGACTATGTTGAGAAATAAAAATGAATCGATCAAAAAAAATGTGTTTTACTATGTTTTTCTAAAAACTTGCCCTCGTAAATAAACTTCAGGATTTATTTGGAAAAATTTTCGATGCAATAATGGTGTATAACAGAAAACACGAATAATAACTATAAATAATGAACACAATAAATAAATAATAACAAACATAAATATTATTCCTTTTACTGTAAACATAGTCACAGCATATATTTCATATTTATATGTTTCTTCAAACTTTACATTAATTTATAATGTAAAATTATAATGTAAAATGTTAAAATTTATATTATTGTAATATAATATATTTCTATACAAATGTGTACATCTTATAAACAAGTACCGTAATGTCTTAAATATATTTATCTAGCAAATATTGAAAATTACAAATATATATTTCTAGTTTTCCGCAATCCATTCATTATGAAGGTGTAGTTGTAGAAGATGTAGTTAGAGGTGAGAGTTTAATTGCCTAAGGAAAAGCATGCAATCAAATATAAATATAATTGCAAAACTATTTGTGCAAGATTTGAAGTCAATATACTTAAAAGTAACACTAAATAAGCATAAGAGCCTTTATTCTATTTTACTTCTATTAAGTATATGTAAAAAATAATAAATATAATAAATGCAAAAAGTTTTCCTACAGAACATATTTTTAAAAAATCCTTATTTTTAAAAAGTAAATATTATTTAACAATTTATTAACAAAGAATAAAATAAATTGCATACTTCCTAAAATTACTTTACCTGAAGAGATGTATAATGATAAAAATATATTATTTTAAAAATAAGCCAAAAAATTGTATTATTTGAATGCACAAATGTGTTTGTACACAATCGAGAAATTTAATTTCTGAGATCATAAACACGCGAAGCTCGTTTATACATAGAAAGAATATATGTATTTAATGCATGAAACTGCTAGTTAATGTTTATTTTTTAGAAATATAGGTTTTTATATAAAAAAATTTCCTCTGTATAACAAATACTTTTTATACTCATTATATACATCTCAACCGTTGATATAACTAATCTAAGCTGTAATGTAATGCAACACAAAACGAAATCGTGCAACTGCAAAAATAAGCGGCAAGACATATATTATACATAATTGCATAAAGAAATACACATTTTTAAAACTAAATTTTACTTAATAAATTACTCCCTTTTTTTCATTCATTTTATTAAACTGGAAAAAATTCAAAATTTATAATTTCAAAAATATAACAATTTCGAAAAAAACTGATAAAAAATATTTGACAATCATGTTTAAAAAGAATTTTTTGCAATTTTTAAAAATATTCTTGATTAAGTAAAATGATAAAAAAGCATTTTAAGCATTATTGTAATATTATATAATAATATCGCACTTATTACGCTTTTGATATTAAGTTTTTAAACAAATTTTAACTGATATTATCTTACCTTTTAAACTCAATTAGTCTATCCGCTTCGCGGAAACCAGTTTCCACGGCACCGTGCACAGTAGAATAATAATGATCATGCGTAGCTTCTCCAGCGAAAAGAATTACCTAAAAAGGATTACGCAATGCATTTTATTAATATTAATAATCTTTTATATACAATACGTGATTCGATTTATACGAGATAAAAATACGTGATAAATTAAAGCTAAAAATTAAAGAACACATCTTGGATATTATTATCAAAATAAACAATTATATGGAAAATAAAGAAACTAACTATAGGCATTCCAAGAATGGATCTGGACACGGAGGAAACGCATAATCTTTAGACTAACTATAGTATTTCGTAGTCAATTCATACAATAACTTGCATAACATTTAAAAATATGTTATATTTTAATTTTAGGATTACATACAGGTTTAATTCCAGTTATAATTGGCTCTGCCAAATCTCTCGGTGTTACATTCATATGCTCGGAAAGCATGCTTTGAAAACTATATGAGCCCCGAAAATGTTCATTAGTATACCATTTAGATCTAAAAATAAAAAAAATAATTTAGACGGATCTTATTATTTTTCTATTAATTAGTTCCAATAGAACATTACCTTAATATTCTTGTTGGCTTCACAATATTATAATGTTTTCCAAACGATTTGTTTAACAATAAATATAATCCATCGAATACGTCAGTATCCGATAAGGTTTCCATGTGTCTCGCATTTTTTCCAGTTATCCAAGCACATAAGAGATTCGGCTGATAAGCCACGATAAAAAAGGAGAACACATCACACAACCATTCGCTATTCTAAAATAAATATTTGACAAAATTAATAGAAGACCAGTAAAAACGGAAAAATTGTCAAAATTATAATAACTTTAACAATATAATGTATTATTGTTCGCTTTAATCTCTAAGCTTAGATAAAATTATACATTCGAATATCTGCTTACTTGACCATAAGTTTGCAAGAATTCTTTTTTATCTTTTTCCGACCAGATCAAATTAAAACTGACTTTATCCTCCGGCCACCATTTGTGCGGAAATTCGAGAAAAATCTTGTTCGCTGTTCCAATATTTAATCCCTGTAATGGCGGAATAATTAATTAATTTTTATTAATCGTACTATATATAATATCATTTTAATTATAGCAGCATAATATTAATGTCAATATTCGATTTATATTATTAATAAAACCTCTATCGCGCGTTGTTTCTTTTGCGACAAAGGTGGCACGAACATCGAGGAATGTTTCTCCTTCAAAACACCTAGAGACCCAGTGAATATAACATGCGATGCAGAATACTCGCATCCGTCTTTGGTAATAATCATTGCATTCTCGCCTGAGCTATAATTGATAGTTGCCACAACTTTTCCGAACTCTATCTTTTCCATTACCGGTAAACTTTCCTCTGAATTTGGAATCTTTTGCTGATAAAATTATTACATACATTTGATTAGAAAAAATAATAGATAAGATATTAATTATA